AATTTTAATGCACTTGGGGTATGACAAATCTATTGAATATGACATGGTTTAAACATGGCATGTAATTTGATCTCTATCTTTGTATTTTACTAAAACATAAACTTTTGGAGTTAAACACCTTAAACATGGTGTGTAATAACTTTTTATTTCAACATGGCGTGTATCAACTTTTTTTTCAACATGACATGTAACTTGGTATTTATCTTTGCATTTCATTAATATATAAACTCTTTGAGTTAAACACCTTAAATATTGCGTGTAACAACATTTTTTTTCAACATGACGTATAATAATATTTGTTTGAACATTGTATGTTACAATGTTATTTTTTTAAACATGACGTATAACTTAGTCTCTATTTTTGTATTTCACCAATACATAAACTCTTGAAGTTAAACACTTTAAACATGACATGTAATCAATTTTTTTTTCAACATGGCATATAACAACATTTTTCTAAATTTCTTAGGTTGGTCAGTTCGTCGAAGTTCTTGCAGTAGCTGCATACTGTCAGTACATCCTTAAGGATGCAGCCATCAAGGCTTTAGAATCTTTCTAAAGCAACCCACCAACTAAAGAAAAAAAAAAGACTTATCAAAAACCAAAGTAGCTATATCTCCACTTCTCTTTTTCTTTTTCTCTATTTATTCATTTGCGTGTATGAGAGGATAATTATAATAATGAACTTTCATTCTTCTTTTTCATCTTTCTTTTTTTATAATTTAAATGTTTGTTGTTAACTTTTACACCTCTGTATCATTGTTCTTTAAGTAGTGGAGGTGTTGACTTTTTCTTTCTAAAAAAAAATATTTTTTTTTGCACTTGAATATAAAAGTTTTCATTAAGGGTAATTTTGTCTAAAAATCTTTTCTCTTGGCTAAAAATAGTTAAAATTAAAAAAAAAAAGTTTATTTTCGAAAACACCTTATCTTTGAGGGTTAAAAAAAATCATCCTTATCTAAAATATATATATATATCATATGTATACATGTTACTTCATGGATGTGAAACTATTGAGGACATTATTTCTCTTCTTTTTCTTTTTGTTAAATTTTAATTTGTTATTTTAGTATTATTATTATTAAAAATAATTTTAAATAATTGATATTTAATAAAATATATACTTCAAATTTACAAAAATTTAGCTGAAAATATGATTCAAGAAGAAAAGAAACAAAAAACCAAAAATTTGAATCAAACTTGCTCAACACCATGTCAAATTTGAAGGATAAAGTGTATTTTGTCCCTTAAACTAATGATAAGAACAAATATAAGTGTTGATCAATGATAAACCAGAATTAAGCCAAAAATGAAGGAACAAATAGAACAATATTACAAATATTAGATATCAACAATATTATATGGATTAGATATCGAAGGAATTAGACCAAGATCTTGTCTTGTGACATAGTCGAGACTCTTGCATAGTTTAACACTCGCCCTTCAATTTGGTGAGCAAATATCATGAACACGCAACTTGCAAAAAAGATGATGAAATTGTTCTTTACTCAATGGCTTGGTGAAAAGATTTGTAGGTTGTTGACTAGTTTATATGTGAGTTATTCGAATAACTTGGTGTTGTATCTTATCACGGAAAAATGGCAATCAACCTCAATATGTTTTGCTCATTCATGAAAAACAAGATTTGCAGCAACGTGGAAGGCAACTTGGTTATCATAATGAAGGAAACCCAGAGTACATTAAGTGATGCCAAATTAATTACGTACAGATTGAAGCCACATAATTTCATGACATGATAACGCCATGGCTTGATATTCTGACTTTACAAATAGCATGAAATAGTTTTTTGTTTCTTTGTTTCTCAAGAAATTGAAAGTGACATGAGTAAAGCATTATGGCCATGTCCTACTTTTAGAGCCAAACGAAACTTAGCCCAAAACAAGCTAGGTGGCTGGATTTCTTGATCGAGTTTGACTATGTGTTAGAGTACAAGCCAAGCAAGGTTAATCTAGTAGCAAATGCATTGTGTCCTAAGGCAACATTGATTGTAATCAATAAGGTGCGCAAAGAGCTGTTACGGCATATACGAGAAGATGCACAGTCAATACTAGATCATGCCAAGGTGAGTAAAACTAGATGATACTAGGTGGGTGACGACTTAGTATACGTTAAGGGCAACAAACTTTATGCATGACAACATGGGGGACTGCGAAATCTACTGATGAAAAAATGCCTTGACAACCACTGAGTACGGCACTTGGGGTGAATCGGATCTTAGCACTATTAAGTGCCAAGTACTTCTGGCCTAGGATGGCTAAAGATGTTAAAGGGTACATCTAAACCTACCTAGTGTATTAGCAGAACAAGGTTCAATAGTAGAGACCTAAGGGACTATTTAACTTGTTGTTAATGCTAGGTAAGCCATGGGATAGTGTTAGCATGGATTTCATAATGGGTTTACCTAAGGCTAACAAGTTTGGTAGTACCATGCCAATTGTGGACAAGTTTTGTAAGTATGCCATGTTCGTAGTTGCTACTACGGAATGTCCAATGAAAAAGGCCATTCGACTATTACTAAAACATATAGTGAAGAATTAAGGTGTGCCTCGAACCATCATCAATGATAGAGATGGTTTGTTCACAGGAAGTTTTGGATATAGTTGTTTAAATTGTTAGGGACAGAGGTGTGCTTCTCCACCAACAACCACCTGTAATTCAATGGGCAGACTAAATTGGTGAATATGTTACTAGAGCTTTATTTAAGGCATTTTGTGCGAGGCACAAATAGACTAGTCAAAATGGCTTGACATGGCCCAGTTATTTCACAGCTTGTAGAATAGTAAGTCTATTGGGCAGAGTTTGTTTGAGATAGTGATTTGGTAGTAGCCTCACATGCCCAACACCATGGCAATGGGTTATACCGATCCAACCATGGTAATGGCTTGAGCTTGTTTCCACAAGGCTACCAAAAAGACACAAAAGTAGGTAGATCAAACTAAATAGGAAACTCATTTCGATGTAAGGACACGGTGATGGTGAAACTCCATCTATTCCTGAAGAACAAAGGCCAACACAAAAGCCTAGTTCGAATCTATAATAAGCCGTATTAAGTGGTTAAGAAGATAGGTAAAGTGGCTTACAAACTGGACACGCCACTTAAGCCTAAGCTACATCTGGTATTTGACATCAATATACTAAAGCCTTACTATGGGGATGATGAAGATCCTAATCGAGGGGTGAGCCATAGGGCTCCATTGGGTGTCAAGGTAGCATATGAAAAGGAAATGAAAGAAGTTTTGACTGATAGGGTACTTAAACAACAACACCACAAGCCTTAGCACCAATACGTTGTGAAGTGGAAGAGACTACTCGGGAGTAAAGCTAGTTGAGAGTTTACAGAAGACTTATGGCAATTCTAAAACTGGATTAATGCCTTGCCTGAGGCAGCGAGGACACTGCTAAATTAGATAGACAAGAATGTCACACCTACTTAGTCAAAACCCCCTTAGCAACGTGACACATGTGCAGTCCATTTTATCCAAGAGCTCTTTTACTCTTTAAGTAACGCAAATGTTTAGAGTATACAACGATAAAAGTACAATTAATTTTATCTTGATATTTATATATTTATATGTCTTAATTTACTAAATTTTATATTTGAAATAACCATGATTTTCTACATGGTAAATGACATATTTTTGTTATAATTAATTTATTAATTTTGGGTGTAACGTCTTTCTTAAGAAAAAAAAGAAATACATGAAATGTGTAGCCTGTTAACCATTTTCTTTCTTTGTATTTTGGTATATAGATAACATTAATGTGAGCATGTGTTCTAGTGTGCTCATTTTGCCACATGTCAGGTTAAAGAGTGGCCAAGTCTTTGCATACTTTTTATTTATATTTTAATATCATATGTTGAGACACGTTTTGGCTTCCAGTGTTTGCCACGTCGATTGGGTTGACTGGGTTTTGTTCAAGGTTTTGAACTGTTGGCTAAAGTGAATTTGGAGAGAGTTTTAAGCTTTGGGCTTAGGCTTGAAAGAAAATACGAAGGAGGTTATGCATGTATCCATTGGTTTTTAGAGGGATTTTATTAGTTTTAGTCTGTCTTTTCAGAATCCTTGATGAATCCATTGGTTTTAAAAGAAATCCTCTCATCTTTTCATGAATCCGACAATTATTGCTAAAATGTTTTCAGAATTCTTTTGAAATTATTCTTTCGGAGGGTGTCTCTGTTCATGTTTATAAAATAATAATATGTTCCCGCCGACACAACATGAGGTAAAATGCTAGTATGATATAAAGTACAGGTGGAGACTCCACCGGCCTTGTGGCCCTTTGTTCTCACATCAACCATGAGGCATAAAAGTTGTTAATTAGCCAACAACTTATTCACTTGCTGAAATATCTGAGCAGTGTTTTATTTTCTAAGGCTAAAGTTAAGGTCTATTACCAATAAGATAGTATAGGTAAATATAATAAAAATATATATAATTTTGCTTTGGTTAAGGGCTATACCCTCTTAATGATGTAAAATCAGCTAAAATTTTTTGTATGACCAACAACCATGCTCCTCAATTTCTCCGTCTCAACATTCTTTCCACTTAATTATGGTGCATATTGATCACACAGTCGTGTATATAACCTTAATCTATACATTTATATAAAATGACAACTGCCTCCAGGATGGGGTTGGCCAAAATCAGTGGCCTGTGGCCCCCTGTAAATTTGTAATGTTATATGGCCTCTGATTTGCTTTCAAGCAAATAAGCAATGGTATTGGTTAATGCTTTTTAGGCACAAAAGGACCTACGTATTTCTTCTACCAACCAACCTCATTTTGTTTTTCCTTACTATGGGCAAGGACAGATTGTTGGCTTCAAAAACAACATGTGCGCATGCACGAGGTCACAGCTGAGGTTGCCCTCAAATATCTTTCCTCCACTTTCCACTTACCAAGTACATAATTTTTGTACTTTCCTGATTGTCCCTTAAGCCTATTGATTGAAGTTGAAGTACTGAATTCAACTCCAGGATAAGGATGAAGTATCTGTCTCCTCAGTGAAAAACAGAGTAGACCATATAATATTTGGAATTTAACATTAGCGAGCTTATATTACAGGTTTTATTAAAAAAAAAAAACATAGAATGAAACAACAACTATAGTAGGAGGGGGGAAAAGGAAACATTGGTGAATTTATACTTGCATCTAAGGTTTAATTTGAACAATATCTGCCTTTGTGCATTAGTGAGCAGTGCATTCTTTAGGGAGGCTCTGAGAAAATCGCTTGGTGTCCGTGCAGTAGTTGTAAATCATGTATTTCTCCTGCACCCATTTCAGCCGTTGTTGGCTTGCTGCATCAAGTTCTTGTGACAGCCAAGCGTATCTAGAACCTGAGCTTGAAGAACAAGAAGATTTGCCTTGAGACCAAACACAAGCATCAGCCTTGAAATTTCTGTATGAAGCAGTGAAAGGAGCTTTGCTCCAGTCTGTCTTGACAAGGCCACCTCGAGTAGCCCAGTCATCGGCGTTCCACAGACTAGAATATATCCTCATGGGCTGCTTCTTTGGGAATGGAACGCCAATGGATTCCAAGTTCTTGAACTCTCTAATTGGAGTGCCATCAACAGAGAAGCTGCAAAATTTTTTAAAAGAAAATAGTAGTCAATAAACTTTGTAATACAAAATTATTAGGAAATAATCATAGTTAAGAGCTTTAAAAACTTACATAATGCGTTGAGGGTTCCAAAGAACAGAGTAGGTATGGAAATCTTTAGTGGGGTCGAACCAAAGGTAAAACTGTTGCTCTCTGTCACCTTTGCCCTGGCTAAATACGTTTGTGTGAACTATGTAAGGCTCACCACTAAGGTTCCCCAAGAATTCAAAGTCGATTTCATCCCATATCAACCCTTGTGAACGTAGCTGCCCCATACAATAAAACATAAATTCTATCAGCACAGAATACAGAGTTATTCTAAATGTTATAAATGAAGTTAAGCATAAGTTTGATCATAAAATTAACTTACATAGTACGCAGTAACAGTCCCAGCAGAGTTGCCAGGAACAAGCTTCAACTGCATATCAATCTTCCCAAAGAGATACTCATTCTTGGATTGGAAACCTGAGCCAGAGAATTTGTCCAGGGTGAGAGTGAGAAGCTGGCCGTTGTTCAGTATCTTACCTCGAGCATCTCCCCAAGTAATATCAAAGTCCTGGTAAAAGTTGGCAGCAGAAGCAACTAATACAAAGCTAACCAACATAGAGACTAGCAAACCAAATGAACTCCTCATATTTCTGGGATTTTTTTTTTTAAATTTGATTTTGAACTTTTATCCGAGTGATTTGAATGTTGAAGTGGCAAGTGTTAGATGGTTATATAGGGGGGAAAGAGTGGTGAAAAGGACAAAAGAAAGGTAAGAGAGTGTTTGGAAATTTCCTACTAGCTCTTCCGTTCAGGACTTGGTGTACAGAGTGCACCGTGTAAAGCAAAGTTGTAAACAGCTGGACATGGCCATAAAATTGGAAGAAAGAAGTGGTCCAAATCTGATGGCTGTTCCATTCCATGCAAGTCATTTACATGGCCTGATGCTAATGGGTTCGGTGGCGCCTGTGAGTGTGTGATGAATGTCAAAGCAGAGAGATACACGCACCGGAAAGCAAAAGCCGCTGGGGAGCTGAGCAAGCCACGGAACTCCAAAAGGCGCGCATCCACCATCCGAGGCTTATTTTGCCGAATATGGAGGGGTGTTCCCCGGACCACAAGATTCAACTGGGCCACTAGGGTTTGTCGGTCATTGTCACTCTAGTTGAGAGGGGCAGGTCAGAACCTTTTGGGGCCCAACGTCTACACCAAAGCCCAACCACTGATACCATCGCGTCAAACGAATTCAACAATTATTAATGAAAACAACTATCTTGTTTGCTTGTAAAATTATTACATGTCATCAACTGGATTGCAATTTCAGAATTGTTTGGCCTACACTTAATCATGTTCAATATGTATGTGCATTCCATCACAAGCACTAAGATAGTAATTTATTAAAACGGAATGGGTCAAATGAGTCAAAAACTTTGCATTTTATATTGTCTCTTTAAGTGGATTTGATGATATAACGAAAATGGTGTAAACTTTGATTATTTCCCTTCTTTCCAAAGAAAGCATAACATGGTTCCTCAGTTCAAAAATAGGAGGATACCATTGTTTGATTATTAGAAGGATTTAGGTATCGAGTTTGTCTTATGGTGCACGTACTACGAGCTAGCTCCAATACTTTTTGAGAATTTACCTGTGAGTGTGCGAGCAATACTACAAACACTATATCTGCCATTGGTTGCCATCATGCAAGCCAAAAGCTTCCAGGTTAGACATGTGATTTCGGTTAAATGACATGGACACAATCACACTTATGAAAGCTCTACGTAGACTCGACCCAGAAATCGTTACTTACCAATTAATGCTGCATGGAACTTACTTTATTCTTGAAGTTGATTTGTACTTTTTAACGGTGTATGAAAACTATGATGATCAATTAAGTAATTTGTTCAGTTTTTTTAAAAAAAAAATAGCATAAAATATTTTTCTTAATCTCTATAATAGTCAATTGAAAGAAAAAAATGATGATTAATGTATGAAATTTGTTATAACTTTTTAACTTATTTTGTACGTTGATAATGTTTAAATTAATGTATTTAAACCAAGATTCAAATTATGTGATTTTCTTTTGAAAAATGAAAATGGCTTATGGGTATTAAAGTGTTAGTTACGTACATGTGTCACGGGGTCATTACTTTCTTCTCCATAAACATGTCTATAGGGGTGTGCAGCACCACCGCTTATAAGGAGCCCAAGACTTCCCGTTCCTGCTTGATGTGAGATTGAGACACTTTTCTTGTGAGACATGCAGTCAAGAGTAAATAGGATGAAATTTATGAGTTGAAAAACGATCATATCCGATTATATATAATCCAATACCACCAATATAAAAGGTAAACAATTTGTCTATAGATACAAAATTTGAGTATCTATACATAAACATGCTAATTTGTCAAAAGAAATATCTTTTTCTTTTAATTTTTGTGAGATAACATGTGTAACTTCTGGTTAAAGAAAGTAGTGAACATTTGAACTTCCCTCTAAGGTGGAAGTGACTCTTAACTGGAAGCTTACCACGATGACACACGCCAAATTCCAATGTAAATAAGACTTTGCGACGGTGGTCGCAAAGTGGTTTGGCGGCATGTCAGTCTTCACCCAACATAATATAGCATTCGGGATTGGAAGCTAGCTAAGTTGGAGGTTTTGACGAAACTAGGGATAACAGTCCAAAGCTTACTGCTGTTTTTCAGTATCTTATCCTCTTCATTCACCCCAATGTGATAAGGACGCCAGTCAATTAAGTGGCCAGCTGTGGAACATAATAAAGTAAGCAATAAAATTATGGACACACACTTAAAAAACAAGGAGTCATTGTCACTGTCAGCCATGGCTTTTTCCAGGGAAATGTTACAGTCGGTCGGTTGAGGGGGTCCTGTGTCCAGTGGATTTGATGGATTACTAAGAGAGAGGCAGAGTTGGAAGGTTCATTGGCATTCAAATTGGACTGGGTGGAAAAGAGGGATAAGATGTGAAATTAACAGCTGGCTGCGATATGATTGTGAAGAGGGATTAGTTAACCAAATTGCATCCAATCATTCATTTTCATGCCAATAAGGTGTCCAAAGGGAAACTTGGCAGGTGCTTCTTTCGGATACCGCCTAGTAGTTGTAGTAGCGTGCCCCTTGGGTGTCTCTTGTTAAATGTTTGGTGGATAATCATTACCAAAAACAAATATGTGGACCAAAACTATTTTGTTCTATTAAATAATTATTATGAAATCTCTAACAACTTTAACAATCAACATAGCCAAATTGCACTTTCCTAGTCGCAAGCTTTAGCAATATTTTATGTGCTTGAGGAAGTCACTTGCTACTCAAAAGCCTTGACCTATGGGCTTCATTATCACTGTGGTAAGTCTCATTTAACGCACGAGATCGACCCTGATTGCTATTTAAAAGCCTTGGACCTCCCTTCCGAACCCATATCCCAAGGATGTGGGAATGTTCAATAGTCAATACTCACAAAGACTGACTATGGAACCATGTACGCTGTACCCATTGCAAATCAAATCATATTCACCCTATCATATTTTTCGAGCTTTTCTTTGCTCACACCTCTATTATGTTAGCCCTTAAAGTACATTTCCTCACGCCCAACAATCTCATGAAAAAGGTCTGTACCTCCCTGACAAAAGACAAACATAAGATATTCGTTTACAAAAAGAATTAAAGCCTTGGGGTACAAGGGAATGCGATTTGAGGATTATAATTGCACAAGCATAACAAAAGTTTTGTCTCTTTTAAGGCGGCTGTCAATGTCATGTTTACTGCTAAAACTTGCTAGACATACCAAAATTCCTTTGAAGGGGGTTAACAAAGTTTTGAAACACACTAAACAGAAAACAAATGTGACAGATTGCTTACCCGGCCCTTTGCCATTCAGAAGGTCATTACATTTACATGGCTTCTTTGTTGCTTTTTCCTGTTGCTTTTTCACTCATTGATGAACCCCCCTGCAAACAACCAGGAAAAGGAACCCCATCAATATGTTGAGAAATAATCCAAGAAGTCACATTGAAGTAAAAGGGTAAATAAAAGTTACTTGTTTCAAAAGTAGAACTCGTCCATATCGACAAGGAGCTGGTATGTTTCAG